CCAAAATAATTTAGGGGGGCTTTAAAATATTTAGGGGGGCTCCAGCCCCCCTAAAATAGGCCTAGTGACGCCACTGGCTTCAGGTGTTCCTGAAGATAACTTTTAACTTTTTATCTGGAGATTTTCTTCCTGATAGAAACAAASTAAGGTTAGAGGCTGTTTTTATTTTTAATCAAACCTAAAACCTGCAGGAAGTGTAATTCTCACCAGCTGCAGGAGGAACTGGAGTCTAAATGTTTGTTTTTATCTGATTTATTCTAAAGATATAAAATCATCCTAGGTAGAGTTGACCCTCTCAGTCTGGGCCGGGGGGCTCACCTCTCGCGCGGTCCTGTGCTGGTACAGGTGGTGGTCGGACTCCTGGCTGCTGACGCTGACGCGCGGCAGGGTCTGCAGGTAGACCGGCTGCATCACGGGCTGCTGGATCACGGTCTGACCCATCATGGGCTGGCCCATCATGGGCTGGCCCATAAACACGAAGGACTGCTGCGGGAGGGCCTGCTGCACCGGGACCAGGTACCGGACGGACTCGTAGGAGCCGTTGACGGCGGTGTAGGGCAGCGGGGACACCGGGGCCACGCGCGGCAGCGGAGACTCGGAGCGCGCGGAGATCACCGTGGTCTTCACCGGCTCCGGGGCCACGTTCATGGTCTTGTAGGTGTGCACCGTGGTTTTGCTGGTCTGGACGGACATGTTGGATCAGTGACCCGGACCCGGAGGGTGGCAAGTTTTCTCACGGCTCCTCGGAGAGAGCGGGGTTCGGCGGAGACCTGGTCCGCTCCTTCCTCGGTCTGCGGGCTGGTTCTGGAGAGGAAAGTCCGGTCCGAGGAGTTCTGCTCYGGGAAGGAAACCCCAGAGAAGAGGGAGGTGCCCTGATCCGACTGGAGGTGGGAGGAGGGACCAGATCAGCTGATAAACTGGAAGAACTGGTCCTGTGTCAGGATCAGGTTCTGATGGTACATTAAGTACTGATTAATTCCAACAGGAAGTGTTTATTTAAACACTTTTTTTCACTGTTTGCATGCTTTATTTTCTTTCCCTCGATGCAACAAGAAGAAATAATCTTATTTCAGCTCATATCTCAGTTAGTTCAACTAAACAAAAATAAAAACAGGTAAACAGGAAACCACAGGTTGTCGGAGAAAAATAAAGAAACTGTTGATTCTGATTCTGCCGCCAGGGGGCGACAAACACCAACAACAAAATGTTTAACTTCATGTTTATTAATTAAAATTGATTATGTGGACATTGTAGATAAAAAATGCAATAATAAGTTTTTAAGTCAATATTTATTAAACACTAATTACCCAGGAAAAACAAAAAACACACTGACCTTACAAAACTTTAACATAGCTATCATTTCAAAAATTAGAACAAAATACTTAAAATTTCCAATTCCTCCTAAATTTAAAGAAGTACATTTTAAAATGTTGAACAATATTTATCCCTCAAACGAATT